AGTTAATTCTTAACATGTTAACAGTTAAATAAAATTAGTGATTTTAAAAATAATATTAAACTTTTTTTTGTAGTACTAACAATTTTGTGCATGACTAGAGTCATGTCCGCCCAACGGAGGAAAGGAAGGTTAACGGTTAAAGAAAAAAAAAACCCTTACACTATTGCGTAGGGTAGAATATTTAATTACAGAACTTATTAACCTCCTATAGAAATTTGAAATCATTAATTGGAATGACAGTTCTAATTTATTGAATGCAGTAAAATTTGTAGGTACATATATATATACACGCGCGCGCGTGAAAACATAAAAAATAAATTATCATCGTATATTTTTAAAATATATTAAAAATATATTTTTATTATAAATTTATATTAAAAAATAAAATTAATTTTAATTTATTAATTATTTAATTAAATTTATCTATTTAACACTAACATTAAAATTAATACTAATTTTTATATTATGCTATATACATTTATAATAAAAAAACTCTTAACCTACTTCCTTAAAAATCTTATAAAAAAGTTATATATAAAAAAAAAAAACCAAAGCGTGTGGAAAAGTTGGGAAAGTGGAGCACATCAGGGTTAGGTAGAAGTCGTCCAACGCCATACATTTATTCTTTTTATTGTTTGTCTGGGCACTGCGATATTATATTGGCTAGGGAAATAGCATTGCAATTTCTGGGAAATGACATATATAAATACCATATTGCCTCTCTTGGATTTCCATAGAAATGAAGTGCTTTCCGATTCAGAATTCAATGGCTCGGCTTATCTTTCTTTACTTTGCCTTTCTCATTCTGATAACTAATGTTACCATTATTAGTATTTGTAATGGCAACTCTGTTCATGTGGTCTGCATTGAGAGCGAGAAAGAAGCCCTTTTGAAGTTCAAGCAAGGTCTCGTGGATCGCACCAACCGATTGGCCTCTTGGCATTCCAATGAAGATTGTTGCAGATGGACTGGAATTGTCTGCGACAGCATGACTGGTCACATCATTGCACTCCACCTTAGAGCTCCTACTTGGGATGACTACGATGGCTACTATGGCTTCTATGACTACTATGAGGCTAATTCTGAGTATTATTGGAGATCAAAACTGGGTGGTAAGATAAGTCCTTCTTTACTCCATTTGAAGCATTTGAGTTATTTGGATCTCAGCAACAATGATTTTGGAGGAATTCACATTCCTAAGTTTTTTGGATCTTTGGGGAGTTTAAGATCCCTTAACCTCTCTCACGCATCATTTGAAGGGGAGGTTCCTCACCACCTTGGAAATCTCTCGAATCTGAAATATCTCAATCTTGGGGATAATTATTATAGTAAACCCTTGCATGTCGAGAATCTCCAATGGTTGTCTAGTCTTTCTTCATTGAAGTACCTTGATTTGACTTATGTGAACCTTAGGCAAGCCTCCAATTGGTTTCATGTACTAAATACACTTCCTTCCTTGGTAGAATTACACTTGTCCGGATGTCAACTTTTTCATCATCACCTCCATCCCATTGCAAGTGTAAATTTATCATCTCTTGCAACCCTTTCTCTATCTGGAAACTTTTTCCACAACTTCTCAAAAATCAATTGGGTTTTTGGTTTCAAGAACCTAATTTCCCTTGATCTATCTGAAAATTATATTGAAGGTCCAATCCCTTGCGGTTTTCAAAATTTGACTTTGTTAAAGTATCTTGATCTGTCATACAATTTTTTCAATTCCTCATCCTGTCAACTTTTCCATCATCATCTCCATCCCATTGCAAGTGTAAATTTATCATCTCTTGCTACCCTTTCTCTATCTAGAAACTTTTTGCACAACTTCTCAACAATCGATTGGGTTTTTGGTCTCAAGAACTTGATTTCCCTTGATCTATCTGCAAATTATATTGAAGGTTCGATCCCTTATGGTCTTCAAAATTTGACTTCATTGAAGCATCTTGACCTATCAGACAATTCTTTCAATTCCTCAATACCTGATTGGTTGTACACTTTTGCTCCTCTTGAGTCTCTAAATCTTGGGTTTAATTACTTGCAAGGTGAAATATCAAGTGACATAGGAAAGATGAACTTTGTTGTTGACCTTAGGTTATACTATAACATGTTCGAAGGTCAAATCCCAATTAGGTCGATAGGAAATCTTTGCAACTTGAGGTCACTCTTCCTCTCAGGTGTCAATTTGAGTGTAGACATATCAGATGTCTTAGAAGTCTTTTCTGGGTGTGTTTCTACTAAAATAGAGTCATTGTACTTGGGTGGGTGTCAGCTTTACGGACAATTAAGCAACCAACTTGGGAACTTTAAAAATTTGAGAGAGTTGTATTTGTTTGGTAACTCAATCTCTGGTTCAATACCAATATGCATAGGGGAGCTTTCATCCTTAGAATTTTTAGTTCTGTCTCAAAACAAATTCAAAGGAAACCTTCCTAAATCATTTGGTCAGCTTTCTAATTTAATAGTTGTTGATATATCAGATAATTTTTTTGAGGGTATTCTTTCAAAAATACATTTTTTTAACCTCACAAAATTGTTAGTGTTTTATGCAAATGGAAACCCATTGATTTTGAAGGTCAATTCTAGTTGGAATCCTCCTTTTCAAATTCAAGTCTTAGGATTAGGATCTTGGAATTTAGGACCACAATTCCCACATTGGCTTGCTTCTCAGACACACCTACGATCCTTAGATATATCCAACTCTGGAATCTCAAGTATTATCCCTAGTTGGTTTTTTGACTTTTCTCATGAAATGGTTTTTTTGAATCTCTCTCACAATCAAATTCATGGGCAGCTTCCAAGTTTTTCTACCTTCAATGATTCATTATCTTGGATCTTCTTCCATTTGACGTTTTTAGACTTTTCTAATAATCTTTTGTCGGGTTCCCTTTTCAATTTTTTGTGTCTTGGAGTGAATGAACCCATAGATCAAATGTATGTTCTCAATCTTGGCAACAATGTTTTGTCTGGAGAGTTACCAAATTGTTGGTCTAAGTGGCCAAATTTAGGGGTCATTGTATTAGATAACAATAGATTTACAGGTGAAATTCCAAGCAGCTTGGGAACTTTACAATTCCTTGAATCATTGCATCTTCATAATAACAACCTTTCAGGAGAAATTCCTGTGTCCATGAGAAATTGTACAGCTTTAAAGACCCTTGATTTTGGTGAAAATGAGTTGGTTGGGAACATCCCGTCATGGATGGGTCTTAACCTTGTTGATCTGACAATCTTGAGGCTACGTTCAAACAAGTTTTCGGGGCATATCCCTAGAGAGTTTTGCGCACTTAATTTTCTCCAAGTCTTGGATGTTGCTCATAATAGGCTTTCAGGAAGCTTACCAAGTTGCATTAGTAACTTAAGTGCCATGGTTTATTCTGTAAATGGCTCGTTTGGGAACTACATTCAGTACGGCTCATCAGATTTTATTGAGCAAGTATTTCTTGTGATGAAAGGCCAGTTTTATGAATATGATAGAACTCTTAATTTGGTAAGAGTCCTTGATTTGTCGAATAACAATTTATCAGGAGATATCCCTTGGGAAATAACTAGGCTTCGAGGGTTGCAATCACTAAATTTGTCACACAACCTTTTCACTGAAAGGATCCCTCCAAATATTGGTGACATGAGTTCACTTGAATCTCTTGATCTTTCTGTAAACAAATTGCTTGGGTCAATCCCTGAAAGCATGTCTAGATTGTCATTTCTAAGCTACTTGAACCTGTCTGACAACCAATTGAGTGGAAAAATACCTTTAAGTACACAATTGCAGAGCTTTGATGCATCTTGCTATGCTGGAAATGAACTTTGTGGCCTTCCACTCATGGATAACTGTAGCAAAGTTAATCATGTAACACCTGGCACTGGAAATAATGGTGGGAAAGATATTGATGGAGCTGGAGTGAACTGGTTGTTCATTAGCATCGCACTTGGGTTTATTTTGGGATTTTGGAGTGTACTAAGTCCTCTAGTGATTAGTAGGCAATGGAGGTATGCATATTATCAATATCTAGATGAGATGCGGTGGAAAGTCAGTGATTATGGGAGTAAATTTTTCTAAAATCTTATGTAGTTTTCTTAAAAAGTGTATTTCTCTTCATGTTCTTGTGATATATATGTTACAAAGCATTGCCTCTTTCACTTTTTCGCAATTTTGTTTTGACTTTTTGTTATTTGTAATGAAGCTGTAAAATAGTTAAAAATATATATAAGAAAAATATTTGTGAACACCTTTTTTCAAGTTGTTAGCTTAAAATTCAATACATACATCAATAAGAATATTATATTAATTGTGATTTAAGTAATTCAATGAAAATTAAAAGAGAATAAAAAAAGTATGTCCTTTTCTATTGAAAAACTTATTTAAATTGTGATATCCTTAAGTGGAAGCTAGCGAATGAATGCTGAAATTTTGAACAAGAAGGAAAAAAATAATAGTAGAAAAAAAATTAAGACCGACAATGGTGATGGTGCCCTTTAAGCCTTCCTCCATCTTGCAAATTCCAGTTAATAATGAGCTTTAAGACTCAATTGGTTGATTATTAAGTTGAAGTGGTTGATTATTAAGTTGAAGATCGGTGCTTGGTTCATATTTTACATTATTTTTAGGAAAATATTTTATTTATTGGTGAAGGAAGTGTTTGGTTCATTTTAAGTTATTAAGATTTGACATGCTTTAATTGTAATTTAAAGAAATAAACACCAAAAAATATTCATGCAAACAAAACAACTAATAAAGCAAAATAAAAAATAAAAATAAAAAAAGACACCAGTTTAAATTTTTTATTTTTTATTTTCAAAAGAAATCTACATTCATTAATCAAGAGAAGCTTATGTTATTGGAAATTCTAAACTCTCAAATCACAATGTAAAAGAATCACTTTTAAATATAAAAATAATATAATTATAATTTATAAATTTAAAATTATGAAAATAAATAAATAAACCAAAAAGGTTCATTTCCTTAGTGGGAAGATACCTAATACTTTTTGGGCATATTGGGTTAGAGGTACTTTATTAAAAAGTTGTTATTGAGAAAATGGTTAAGGAAGCACTATGAAGATATTGCAATATCAATAAAAAAAATATAAGTAAAACCATCCTATAAAAAGAAATAAAAAGAAAACCAAATAGGTTTCTCTACTACAGTTTGAGTTTTTTATGTTTATTAAAAAATATAAGCAGAACCTTCCTCAATACTCTAATTGATATTTTCTCAAATTTGACAAACCATCAAAGAATTTCTAGTAAGTTACAAGAATCATAAGAAATTCAAATGAGTCACATATTCAT